TTATGTGTCAACATGTCATTTTGAGAACGATATCACCAAGACAGAATAAGAGAATCCAGCCTTTGCTCTCCCTTTACAAAGATAAACTAGCAATTATACACAGACAATTTGGTGAAAACCCCAAAATTGGGGAATAAGAGTGTGTCACCTTTACGCTTTACAGAACTGAATAAAAATCTGCTTTAAAAGCATAAGAGATCTGGTCTCTCTAGGACAACATCATCCCTTCCCTTCTCCCAAGTCAGAACACCACCACCCAGGGCCACACTTCTCACAGAGGGTAGAAAGCACAGGGGAAGCACCACACTCCACTTCCCCAGCCCTCTGAGATGCTTTCTAGAAAGCCCCTTCTGTTCTCAGCTCAAGCAGAATACAGGAGGGAACTGAATGGCTAGCCCATGTGAGCCCAGGTAAGCAAGCGGGCAGAGCTCACAGAGACCAGCATGCACAGGGCTACACTGGACCAGAGATTCCAATATCATAGTCACCACAAAGCCAATAGGGTCACTCCCAGAAGAGGTAAGAAGTATTTCTTTTCTTGACCTGAGTTCTTAGTTACCCAGCCTCTGGGCCTAGCCTGAGAAAGGGAAGACTCTCACAGAGGATTTCAACAACGAGCAGGCCACAGCTGGGAGTCTAAACGCACTTCCTGCAGCCTCAAAGACCCCCTCCAGGCCCCACCCAGGCTGAGACCAACCAAAGCTGAAAACCAGGCAAAAGGCACCCACTGGTTCTGCCACATTCAGAAGCTCAGTCAGTGTTGGCCTTAGCCTCAGAGGGAGGGAAATCTCAACTTGCTTTTTTATTGAGAAGTGGATTCATCCATCCGGATCCATGTAATCACAGGGGTACTCTGGAAATTGTATAAATAAATGAAAATTAAATAACACGTTCTTAAGCAACCAATGGGTCAATGAAGAAATGTAAAAAATTTCCTGAGTTAAACGAAAATGGAAATACAAATTACCCAAACTAACAAAATACAGCAAAAGCAATTTTAAGAAGGAAGGTCTCAAATGAACGGCTTAACGTTAGACACTGAGGAACTAGAAAAATAAGAAAATCTAAACCCAAAACAATAGAATGAAGGAAATAATAAGGAACAGAGCAGAAGTAAATTAAATAGAAATTTAAAAGCAATACAAAGATGAATGAAACCAAGAATTGGGTTTTTTTCTTCTTTTTTTTGACAAGTCAAAATCAACAAACATTTGGCTAGACAAACTAAGAAAAAGGTGGGGAACTCAAATAAAATTGGAGATGAAAATAAAAACATTACAGCTATAAACAACTATACACCTCAAAGTGAAAAAAAATAGAAGAAAAGAATAAATTCCTGGACACCTACAACCCACCAAAATTGATTCATGAAGAAAGAGAAAACCTGAATAGAACAATAATGAGCAGTAAGATCAAGTCAATAGTAAAAAAAATTTTCATCAAATAAAAATCCAGGACCTGATGACTTCACTGCTAAATTCTACTAAGCATTTAAAGAAGGACTAAAACCTGTTATTCTCAAACTATTGAAAAAACCCTTCCAAACTCATTCTACAAAGCAAGCATTACCCTGATACCCAAACCAGATCAGAACACAGCAATATCAAAAACCATTGGTCAATATGCCTGACGGACCTAGATGCAAAAATTCTAAAAATCCTAACAAACTGAATTTAATAGCACATTGAAAAAATAATGATAAGTAGGATATAAGGCTATAAGGATCATCCAACGTCTGCAAATCAATGACTCCGATACATTACATTAACAGGATCAAGGACAAAAATCATAGGATCATTTCAACAAATGCAGATAAAGCATTTGATAAGATTCAGTATCACCTAATAATAAATACTCTCAACAAATTAGGTAGAGTAGGAATGTCTCTCTACACAATAACGGCTCTAAAAGACAAGCCAACAGCTAACAGCATACAGAATAAGGAAGGACCGAAAGTTCTTCCTCTAAGATTAAAGACAGGGTGAGGATACCCACCTTCACCAATTTTACACAACGCAACCCTACATTAAGAGTACGAGCCAGGGTTTAGTCAAGAAGTAAATAAAGGGCATCCAAGTTGGAAAAGAGAAAGTTAAACAGTCCTTGTTTGCGGATGGCATGATTTTGTACATAGAAAACCCTGTGGACTTACACACACACACACACACACACACACACACACATGCTGGAACTTTTTAAGTGAATTTAATAATGTTGTAGGACAAACAAACATCAATACACAAAAATCAATATAGCAATTCTACACGCTAATGGGACACTATCTGAAAAAGAAATTGATAATTATCCCATTTACAATACCCACTAAAAGAAAGTACCTAACAATAAATCTAACCAAGGAGGTGAAATACCTTTACGAAGAAAACTATAAAACACTGATGAAAAAAAATTGAAGAGAATACAAATAAATGAAAAGACACCTCATGCTCATGGATTAGAAGAATTAATGTTTAATTAATTAGAATGTGGTGAAAGGGGAACTCCTATACCCGCTTGGTGGGAATGTAAGTTAGTACAGCCATTATGGAAATAGGGTCAGATGTCTCCCTGCTAAGCACAGAATTACCCTTATCCTTCAATCCCACTACGGGGTGCACACCCAAAGGAAAATAAACCAGCATGTTGAAGAGATACCTGCACTCCAGGGTTCATTGCAGCACTCTTTACAGGAGCCAGGATATGGAATCAACCCAAATATCCGCCAAAAGATGAACGGATGAGGAAAACGAGGAAGCATTCCCAACCGGATACTGTATGGCCATAAAATACATGGAACCTTGTTATTTGTGACGACCCAGACGGAACTACAGATGATTATGGAAAGTGAAACGAGTCAGGGAAAGAGAGACAAACATCACAGGATCTCACTCCTACGTGGGATAAAAACAAAAAAAGATGGTTTCATGGGTTTGAGAGAACAGTATCTACTAGATGCTGGAGAGAGTTGGTCAATGGGTATGATATATAGTCATATGAGCTAGGTCAGTCTCTGGTGTTCCATGGCACCATGAGGTGAATATAGTTAGCATAATGCATAGTATTTAAAAAGAAAACAACTAGAAGAGCGAATTCTTAATATTTTTTGCATTAATGATAAAAGTTTAAGATGATGGATATGCTAATTACCCTGACGGAGTTTCACCTAATGTATACATGAATTAGAACATCACAGTGTGCCTCACAGTTGTGCATCACTGTTTCACGTCAATCAAAATATTTTTAAATTCTAACATTCAAAAAAGTCAACAGGAACAGCCCGGCACAGTGACACACGCCTCTATCCCAGCAGCTTGGGAAGCTGATGCAGGAAGATTCCAAGTTTGAGGTCAACCTCAGCCCTGGACGAGGCTTTCAGCCACTTAGAGAGACTCTATCTCAAAATAAAAATTAAAAAGGACTGGGGATGTAGCTCAGTGGTAAAGCTCTGGTTCGAATCTCCAGTACCCAAAACCAAAAACAAACAAACAACAAAAAAAGTCCATGTGTCATCTCAGGGCCTCCACCAGAGGCCCACTCACTTCCAAATCAGGCATTCCAGCCTTGTCTCCCCTCCCAGGCCTGAGCCCACCCACGACGAGTGAGTCCATCTGTTACCACCTTCCCTATGGCCTCCCAGAAGAACCAGAAAGGTCTCCTTCAGCTCACGTCCACTTCAACTACGGAAATGCCCAACAGGGTCAATTCGAGTAAAGATGAGGGTCTTGACAAAGAAGCTTCGTCCAGCGCTTCCTCCTGATTTAACCCACTGCCCCCGAGCAACCTGCTGCCCACAGCAAACACACCACAAAGGGTGGACAATGGGACAGGCCCTGGTGACATCCTTGTCAGACAGTAAGTGTGAAGAAATGTTAAGCCAAAGGTTTTCGTCACAGATGCTGGAATGAAGGCAGAGCGGCTTTCCAAAATCACATTTCCTGAAGGCAGGGCTCATTTTCTGTATAAAACTCCAGCTGGCTGGAGACGTCACCCCAGACCAGAGAAGCCACACGGCTCAGCATCTGAGGTAAGGCTCCCCGCTTGGAAGTCTGAAGTTACCCCCTGGTCTTCCATTGGGACTGGGGACTTTCTGCCATTCTAAATGCAAAGGCAGTTTGTACCTAAGGGTGCAAATGTAGGTGCTTTTTACTTTTCCCTCAGATTATAGCTGTGGGACCGAGGGTCAGAAAATGGCAGTGATGTCTGGAAACGTTGTTAGTACCGCTTTCAGTGACATTTTAATTGTCCCTCTGATGTATCGAGACTCTTCGGTGTCAAAGGCAGGGCATTATGCAATTTTGATGCTTAAAAGTTAAGTCCTTCATTGCTCCTCAATTCTATAATCCTTCAGAGAATAGAATACGTGGGAATAATTCACTAACATTCAATTATTAAAGTGTTCAGTAGAAAAAGGGAGACAGGAGCTCTGCTGGGGGACAGGAGGAAGGCCAGTTGGACTCGGGGAGAGGCCTGGGGAGGACACGGGGACAAGCAGCCAGGCAGTGGGAAGCCTTCCAGAAACCACCACACGGGGGACAGTGTGGACAGAGGCTCCCATGGAGGCCCAGGGGAGGTCCCCACAGAGCTTCCCTGGGAGAGCTAGGGCACTCTGCAGGGTGGACATGGGTGGGGACACGCCACATCTTTCCAGACTTTTGAAAACCTGGGGCCTTCCATCAATCCTAGGAAGCTGCTCTGTGTGGAGTGGTCTGAGTTCAGTTTCTGGGTCACGTGGAGGTTTCTGGATGCTCCAGGCAGAGAGGAAGCAGAGGAGGGTCCAGTCGCGTGGGACTCAGCCAGTCACTTTGACCTTTGACCTTGAAAGCGTGCAGGGACCATAAAGCCTCCTCTGATCTCAAATTCACAGAAACAGAGAGAGAGAGAAAAGGGAGACTCTCCCTTATGAAGAGGTGCCCAGTGAGAGCCATTGCCATCAAACTGAGCTTCTTCCTTGCTTCTCCAAACTAAGTCACTCTTCTGCCTCCAGGTCCAGCCTCCCCTGAAGCATGAGTTCCTACCAGCAGAAGCAGCCCTTTGTCCCACCCCCTCAACTGCAGGAGCAGCAAGTGAAGCAGCCCTGCCAGCCTCCCCCCCAAGGACCGCTGGTTCCCACAATCCCAGAGCCGTGCCACCCAAATGTCCCTCAGCCTGGGAACACCAAGACTCCAGAGCCAGGCTGCACCATGGCTCCTCAGCCAGGCTACACCAAGGTCCCTGAGCCAGGCTACACCAAGGTCCCTCAACCAGGCTACACCAAGTTCCCTGAGACAGGCTACACCAAGGTCCCTGAGACAGGCTACACCAAGGTCCCTCAACCAGGGTACACCAAGATCCCTGAGCCAGGCTGCACCATGGAACCTCAGCCAGTCTACACTAAGGTCCCTGAGCCAGGGTACACCAAGGTCCCTGAGCCAGGCTGCACCATGGAACCTCAGCCAATCTACACCAAGGTCCCTGAGCCAGGATGCACCATGGAACCTCAGCCAATCTACACCAAGGTCCCTGAGCCAGGCTGCACCGTGGTCCCTGAGCCTTTCCCTACAAAAGTGGCTCCAGGCCCAGCTCAGCAGAAGACCAAGCAGAAGTGAAGCCGTCCAGAGCCAGGTTCTTCAGGAGCTGAGCACCACCTGATGAACACCCTCTTCCCATCTGCCTCTGTCTCAACTTCCAGTAGATGTCACAATCAACATGTTGTCACCCTGAGTCGTGGTCTCTGTCTTATTCATATTCTAAATCTATTATTATAAATTCTTCCCCTGTGCACATTCTGAGAAGTACTCTGAGTCTCTGAACTAAACAGAAGGTCTTCGTTCCTGTGTTTGCTCCAGTTGCTCAGAGATCATTTGAAGAGGAATTCTGGATGGAAAAAAATGTGTATTTCTGCTCTTTCCCATTAAATTACTTTTACCTCTGTTCCTGGCTGGGTGTCAGTGGCTAAATTTCCACCCTTTCTTGGTCTCCCGTTGTGAGTCAGAGCGTATGGACAGGGAGGGGTTAGTGTATGCATCATTTGTTAATCCTGGCACTGTGCACTCCTGTGAGGTTATGGAGACACATTCAGAGGGCATTACAGGGATAGCAGCAGGGTATTGTGCAATGACAGCCAGAGCCTGTCACCTTGGGCAGCTATAGGTAGAACAAGACTCTCTTCTTACTCTGGCTGAGTCACATCTGAGTTCCATGATGTGGGTCCCAAGCCACTCCTGATCCTCAGTTTTCTGCCTCTAAGTCTCCTCCTCCTTCCAAGAATACATTATTCCTTCGCACTTGAACCTCGTGTTGTTTTTCTTCTCTCGTTTTTTCCTTTCCAGGACACGTATTCTTCCACACGTTGTCACCGAGGCACCCTCAGTGTGCCTTTCTACACTTACATAACCGCCTACACAAATTCCACACTCATTGCTCAGCCAGTGCTGCCTTTGCTGGGCCCCGGCCCTGGGCACAAAGTCCTGTGGCTGGACCAGCATGAGGGAGGAAGACGCACTGCACTTTCCCTGGGAGAATTTGCAGTTTTCCCTAGGAGTTTGGTGCCTGTGCCCTTCTCATCTAAACATGTGCACATAACACCCTCTCCCTCTCTCTATTCCCCATCCCTCTTTTTCTCTTTCCCCCTGAATAACCCACAGAAAGTTTTATGCATTGATTTCAAATAAGAGGTGAGTTTTAACGAGTGACTAGGGCAGGAATTTAAATTCAGGTGAGGCAAATAACCAGTTAACAAATTTGCAAATGAACAGGGCACATGCTGTGAACTCTAGGAGTGAAAGGAGTGCTTTAAGAGCACCTTCAAGTTTTCAAGAGCCCGGTTTTCTAGAATCCCAAACAGTCTGGTCTTCTTGATTTCAGAGGTGAGCCACAGGGGCATGGATCTATGAGGAGAAGCAGAAAAAAGAAAAAAAAAAGCAATGTAAAAGTTCGGAAGGACTCCAGGATTCATCCGTTGACTAGTCCATAACACCAAGAGGTCTGGGGCAGGTGACGGGGAGTACGTACCTGCAAGATGCACAAGTGCTTTGGGAAGGTTTGGCAAGAGCTCAGAGATGTTTGGAAACCGTAAGATAAAAATCGTCTAACAGATCATTACAAGATGATGAGTAGTTGTCAAACTGGCAGGAGAGAATGACGTACCTTACGTGTTAGACACATGTTGAGGTGGCTTCACAATCCTGCTGATCTCAGTGGTAGGAAAGGCTAGAGGCGATTCCAAGACTGATCACAATGAAATAGGCTAATTCTGGGCGGGGAAACGGGCTTTATGATACAAAGCTATTGTGAATGAAAAATAATACACTTTCGTGGCTCATATTATTTGGGGTTGCTTTTTAAAATACATTTTTATTGTGGAAAATATATGTAGAACAAAATTTACCCTTTTAAACATCTTCAAGTACACAATTTTGTGGTATGAATTTCGATTCCATGTTATGCATCTTTGCAAAAATACATGCTTGTATGCAGGTTTATAGACGATAAACAAAAACCCTGATATTAAATTCAGCAAAATGTAAACTGTGGTCATTTTTAGCTGCTTTTTGCGAATGCTCATTTTAATAGCTCTATTTTAATAAGTATTTTAATATCTGTTTCCCAAAAGAACATGTATTATATATTATTTCATATTTATTTTTATAAATTTTATTATCATATTTAAAATAAGAGAAGTCAGACAAGATGTTGCTGAGATAGAAGAAAAATATATTGGCCCACAAAAGCTTTCCTGGGCTGTGCCCAGATCCCATACGGAGTTCCAGGGTGGGGGCTGCTTTCTGGTTGAGTAGCCATGGGGTCTTTCTTCCCTGCATATCCTCATCAGGATTCCTCCTCTTCTGTGAAGGATCCTGGGACACTCCAACACCACCCACTCTGGAGCCCAGGGGCTGCCCGTCTTGCCATCTGACGGACAGCTGATGCCAGTTAAGTGGGCAGTCGGGCCCTTCCGGCTTCAGCAGTGCTTTTCCCTCAGCCCCTCTGTGACAGGGCAGAATTGTCATGCCATCCATTGGGCGAGCCATTTAGAAAGCAGAGTTCTGCTTCCGGTGAAGAGCTTGAAGTCCAGACTACACAGATTGCACACTTTGGCAGATTTCATGTCCATAGACTGATTGCTGATCTTGTGCAGATTTTTTAAAAATGCACATTTTGTTTCTCTTAACGATTCTTTCTTGTTTTCTACACCTTTGTTTCTTCTTCCTACTGCAGCCATGACCTTATAGTTGTTGGGGGAGGCCGGGTGCAGTGGCGCACACATGCAATCACAGTGGCTCAGGAGGCTGAGGCAGGAGGATCACGAGTTCAAAGCCAGCCTCAGCAACAGTGAGGCGCTAAGCAACTCAGTGAGACCCTGTCTCTAAATAAAATAAAAAATAGGGCTGGGGATGTGGCTCAGTGGTCGAGTGCCCCTGAGTGCAATCCGTGGTACAAAAAAAAATAGTTGTTGGGGGCAAATATTTACTTTCTGGCTCAGATAGAAACTGGTTATGAAGGCAGTTTGCTGTACTGTCATGGCCCTCCATATTTCTGACTGAAATAAGTCTCACAATGGATCCAGGCCAACCACTTTCCCAAACTATTTTTTGTTAGCCCCCAACTTAATTTTTCCAGTTCTGTCTCCTCTCTTGTGTTTTATGCTCTACCTACATCTGATCTCCTACCTGATCCCTGCCACCTCACAGGCCTCCCACGAACAAGTTAACCAATCTGGGAGACTGACCCAATATGCTGCAGCTTTTGCCAAACTGCCCTACACTTCCCACACTTGCCATATCGAGATTCCTGCAGGGACACCTGAGTTCTCCAGACTGTCACGTCCACAAGGGCAAGAACCTTCTGCCCATTCAGGGCTTCTCCAAAGACTCAGGGCTGAGCTTGCTGCCTGCCAGGTGGTAGGAGTCAGTCCACCCCTGCAGAGATGCTGAGGAAAGGTTTGTGCCTTCACTGAATGGTGCAGGGGATTTGAGGATGTCTGCACTCTATTCCCCAAACACAGCCCCCTCCTGCCTTCAGCCTGATCCTCCCCATCCATGCTCACCTCCCTACACATCTTAAGCCACAGTAGTCCTGAGGGCAAAAGCCACCTGCTCTTTCCTAGCTGTATCTGCAACACCCTTGGAAAGAGGTGTCCTGTATCTTCTGGAGACTAGGAGAAAACTGAGATGGTTTCTTTACCAAACCTAACCAAGAGGCTCCCAAATATGAACCTGTCCCCTTTTCTTTAAAATGATGATAAAGATGATAGAAGATTAGGAAGACCCAACATCAATTTCTTATTTAAAAAAATTACAAGAAATATGATAAAAAGTTTAGGACTATGGGATATAAAGTATAATTATCAATAGTATATTAATCTATAATTTATGACATAAATTGAATTTTTATTTCCTAGAACTACTTTTTTAATTCATTCACATATTTTTCATTGATTTTTTTCTTCTAATGCACTCTGTATTTATTTGGTTATGTTAGTGGTGATGCTTTTTAAATTTTTCCTAATGCATTATAACAACAAAATACCTGAACTTTTTCACAGATCGGTTGATGAGACTTTCATCATGCCATTTGTACCTGGATACATTACTTTAAAATGGAAACTTAGTTTGAAAACACTTGAATTATGATTCCTATAATCACTTTTATTACTTCAATTGACATCTTTTACCACATTCTGGTAATCAATGTTCCTACCACTATAACAATGGCCAAGCAAAATGTACTATTCGTGTGGTTTATTGGTCAGGGTATGTTCTCTTCTGTAACAAAAATCCCCCAAAGTCTGTGACATCGTGGAATAGAATCCTATTTCTCATCCATTCCGTGGTCCTTTGTGGACTGGCGGAACTCGCATCCTTCCATTGTGTGACTCATAACCCTCAGCACCCTCCTTCCATTGTACCCTACATGGCAGATAGGAAAAGAAGTAGTAGAGAAAGAACGCTTGAAAGAAGTGGAGGTGATTGTCTGCACTCGGGTGACGTTGCATCAGCTAGATGTCAACCACAGGGTCCCACACCACAACACAAGGCTAGGTACCCAAAATGGAGACGGGGATGTTGTGATCACTCACAGTTCAGCCACAGTCCAGCCATCTGGGATGTTGGTTTTATTCTAATTCTGCATAGACATATTCACCTGTGCCCTCAGAAACCCAACTCAGAGTCCAGGGAAGCCACAGATCCACATCCCAGTCCAGGATCTTTGGGTAACATAGAGTCCTCTCCATCATGTCCTCTCAGTGTGGCTCTTCTTAGACCAGAAAACTGGAATATAAGGAGCCAGTTGGCAGCAGTGGGATAGGGATTGGATAACCCCAACAGAAAGGAGAAAAGAGATAAAAGACCGACAGCTAGAACCAGAGTCGTAAGAACTCTGACCGGCCTCTGAGTGTCATGTGGAGGTCCACCCTCCTACCAGGGGATGGCACTGCATAGGAATGCAGACCAATGGAATAGAAGACTCAGAGACAGATCCACATAAATACAGTCATCTCATCCACTTCGTATGTCCTCGGCTCCTCTCTCTGGAAGGTGGTCTTGGTGTCGGGAGGTCATTCACTGTTCATTAGCTGCCTGAAGTGGGTTGCACAGTACAACGGAGCCGGCTCTTCTTGCCCCCACAGCCGTTTCAAGACTTTGAAACACTCACACTTGGCTCATGGTTTCTTAGGGAAAATAAAACAAACAAGCAATTTCATCAATAATCTAGCAAGCTTCTGATTTGTTTCCAGTA